CACAGCAGCACCGCCGCCGAGTAGATGTCCGCCGGAAGGTAGAGCTCGGTGTCCAGCGGGCGCCGGCGCTGGAAGGCGGCCAGCACCTCGGGCGCGGCATATCGCGCTGTCATGGCATTGAGCTCGGGCACGTCGACCACAAGGGCCGAGGACCGGTCGGTGCTCAGGCTCCGCGAGGCGCCCAAGTCCCCGAGAGCGGCCCGCCAGCTGCCATCGGCATTGCGACTCACAAAGACATTGCCGGATTTGATGTCCCGGTGGGCGATGCCCTGGGCATGCATGGCCTCGAGGCCCGCGGTCCACTGCTCGACAATGGCGCAAAGGATGGCCGGTGGCAGGGGCACCTCCGAATGGAGGAGATTGTGGAGATCCGTGTCAAAGCGCTCCATGACAATGGCCGGCGGCTGCTCACTATACCCATAGAGCCGGACCACGCCGGGCATGTCGCGCAGCAGCCACATCAGGGCAATTTCATTCTGGAAGAGGGGCCCCTGAGTGGGCTTCAGCCGGTGGGTCTTGAATTGCTTGATGGCCACGGTGCCCGGGCAGCCGAGGCGGTCGGAGATGCCGGCCCCGACGGCGCGCGCGCCAAAGACGCTGGCCTGGGCCCCAGCCCCCAGGCTGGCCTCATTGAGGCGGGCAAAATCGCTGCCGATGTTGACCATGATACTGCCGGGCAGGGAGAGCTCTGTGTGATGGACCGAGGGGCGACGGGTCAGCCGGGCCAACGAGGGGTGCACAAGCGCTTGGGCCGGAGAAACGCACCGAGGATGGTGTTCATGACAGTCGCGTCTTTCCGGAAAGGCGGTCAGTCCAAAGATCGGGCCATGCCGTGAGGCGGAGGGGAGAAAGGGGGCGAAGAAGCCCCAGCGAGCCAAGCAGCCGAGACGTACTTTCATCGAGGCCATCATCCGTTGGCTGTGGTGAGTGAGCGAGATGGAGTGTCAGCGACCGGTTGGCCGGCAAAAGGTGGGACCCCCCCGCTCTCCCTTCCCGGGGGGTACAACGCACAGGAAGACGCTTTGAGGCGGCGCCCAGACGCCGGCGTAGGAAAAACAAGACAACAAGAAGGAGCAGCAGCAGGAGCAGACCCAGGCCGAGGCCAAGTCCCAGAGCTGCAAGCGGCAGGGACCGGGAGGAGGACAGGGCACAGGGCAGGGAGGGGCAGTGTCAGTCAACCGGAGCATCCACCGACCGGCGCTCGCGGCCGAAGCATCGTACCAAGGCGACCCCGAGAGGATCCCGGCCCGTCCAGGCAGTCGGCCCTCGATGGCCCGGAGCAAACACGGCACTTGTCATGGCAGGCAGCACACTCCGCCGGAGAGGCCTCCCAGTCGGCAAAGAACCCGGTGCTCGGGCAGGCGGGCACGCACGACCCGCCGTGGAGCAGCAGCTCCAACGCGCACCGGGTGCAGGTCTCGGGTACCGGGCACTCGACTCGCCCGCTCGGCCCGAGCTTGCATGCCCCGGCCATGCCCTCGGTCGTGCACGCCTCGCACGTGTCCGGGCAGGCCAGGCACACCCGGTCCGGCGTGGCCCCGGGGAAGACCGCCTCCACGAAGCCGGTCCCCGGGCAGGCCGACGCGCAAATGCCGGTCTCCTTCTGGAGCCACAGCGAGTTCCCGGGGCACGAGGTGCAGAATGTCCCGGCGTCGATGCAGGTCCGACAAGAGGCATGGCAGGCAAGGCAATGGGTCTGGCCGCTCGGCAGGAACTCGCCCTCTGCACAGGCCTCCGCACAGAGCCCGGTCACCGGCGACAGGACCAGCGCCCCTTCGCAGCCCGTGCACACCGGCATGCAACCTGCATCGGCAGCCGCACAGGACGAGCAGCCGGCCGGGCAGGCCTCGCACGAGCTGGTCCCCGGGCAGAGGAAGAACCGCGCCGAGCACGAATCCACACAGCGCCCGGATTCCAGCCATGCGCCCGCCGGGCAGCCAGTACACTGGCCTTCGGCCGGGCCGTCGCACGCTGCGCAAGATGCATCGCAAGGCCGGCATACCGAGCCGGCAGGATGCGCGTCTGCCACATAATGCTTCGCAGGGCAGGCAAGCAAGCAGGCGCTGCCCAAGAGGACGCGCCCGTCAGGGCAGCTGGCACACTCTTCGGGGCCGGGGCCACTGCAGGCTTCGCAGGAGGCATGGCAGGGGATGCACTTGTGCCCCGAGGAGAAGCTGCCCGCAGGGCAGTCGGCCAAGCAGCGCCCATCCACAAGCAACGGATGGTTGGATCCACAGGAGGTGCACTGGTCGGCCCCCGGGCCGTAGCAGGTGTCACAGGTCGGGTGGCAGGTGACGCACAAGCCGCCCTGCGGCGAGGACCCGGCCGGGCAGGAGTCCACGCACGCCGGCGAGGCCAGCAGCCACCCCCGCTCGCACAGGGCACACGTGTCCGCCTGCCCGGGGCAGCTGCTGCAGTGGGCCCCACAGGGCGAGCACCCGGCCGTCGAAGTG